CTGGTGGCCGAGTGGCAGTGCGTGGGCTTTTGCCACGGGGTGCTCAACACGGACAACATGAGCATCGTGGGGCTCACCCTGGACTACGGGCCCTTCGGCTTCATGGACAGGTGAGCGGCCCGGCAGGGCGACTGGGGGGTGGACAGTGGCCGCAAGGCTGCCTCGCCCGCCCACGCCCACCTGCCCGCCCGCCAGGTACGACCCTGAGCACGTGTGCAACGCCTCGGACAGCGCCGGCCGCTACGCCTTCAGCCAGCAGCCGGCCATGTGCCGCTGGAACCTGCAGAAGCTGGCGGAGGCCCTGGAGCCCGAGCTGCCCGCCGCCCTGGCCCGGGCTGTCCTGGACGAGGAGTTCGAGGCCGAGTTCCGCCGGCACTACCTGCACAAGATGCGCCAGAAGCTGGGCCTGGTGCGGACGGCGCTGGAGGAGGACAGCGCCCTGGTGGACAGGCTCCTGGAGACCATGCACCGGACTGGTCAGTGGGCCTCAGCGTGTCCCCGGGCAAGGCAGGCCCGGCCCCCCTCCTCAGCTGTGTCCACTGCAGGGGCCCCCCTGCCTGCCTGTGCACGTGGTACACCCTTGGCCACCTGCCTGCCCCGACTGGGGGTCACCTCCAGGGCTGGGGTCCGCTGAGCCGGGCTCTGAGCCCCGGTGGCTCTTGCTGACCCTGGGGGCGCCCCACCCATCCCGGCCGCGCCAGGCCTGCCCAGGGCTCCAGGCTGACCGTGCCGACGTCCCCAGGGTTGGCGGTGGTCTGCGGCCCACGGCCAGCCTGCCTCGTGGCCCGAGGGTGCTGTGGGCCTGGACCCGCCATCCAGCCTGCCCCACCCCCGCCCCCGTGCCAGGTGGCCAGGCGCTGTGCTGAGGGTGGCCGCTGGCCTTCCAGGAGCCGACTTCACCAACACCTTCTTCCTGCTGAGCACCTTCCCGGCCGGCACGGACCCCGCGGGCCGCGCGGACTTCCTGGCTGCGCTGGCCGCTCAGTGCGCCTCCTTGGAGGAGCTGCGGCTGGCCCTGCGGCCCCGGATGGACCCCCGGTGAGAGCCCGGCGCCCCTCCAGGGCGGGAGGCCCAGTGTGGGCTCCGGGGAGCTGTGGGGGCCACTGGAGGGTGGGCGCGGGCCTGAGTCCAGGGAAGCCAGGGCCCGCGGGCAGAGGGCAGCGCAGCGCCGAGCCGAGCCCGTCCCCCGCAGGCAGCTCTCCGTGATGCTGGCGCTGGCCCAGGCAAACCCGCAGCTCCTGGCCCTCCTGGGCAGCCAGGGCGCCCTGGCCCGGGAGCTGGCGCGCGCGGAGCGGCTGGCCCGGCTGGAGCGGCTGGGCCCGGCCGAGCTGCTGAGCAGCAACGCGGCCCAGTGGACTGCCTGGCTCGACGACTACAGGTGAGGACTGCCCAGGCCCCTGGCGCCGCCTCCGCCGGCCAGGCCCCTGCTCACGGCGCTCTGCCCAGGGCCCGGCTGGACAAGGACCGCGAGGGCGCGGGCAGCGAGGAGGCCTGGCGGGCCGAGCGGGTGCGGGTCATGCGGGCCAGCAGCCCCCGCTACGTCCTGCGGAACCACATGGCCCAGCGCGCCATTGAGGCTGCGGAGCGCGACGACTTCTCAGAG